TGTTTTATGTAGCCATTTTTTATTATTCATCAGCTCAAACAGTTGGCCAGTGATAATGATGGTGAAGATTATGTTGTATTGTGTGTGTGTGTGTGTGTGTGTGTGTGTGTGTGTGTGTGTGTGTGTGTGTGTGTCGTTTTGTTAATGTGCTTTTATTTTAATGTGGAACAAAACAATTCTTCCAGATATTTAAGATTATATTCAATCAAGTATTACATCAAGAATATAAACATATCTTTATGATTATATTTGGTTAGGGTTATGATTGATCCATGATTGTGTTTGATGTAGCCATTTTGTATTATTCATCAGCTCAAACAGTTGGCCAGTGATAATGATGGTGAAGATTATGTTGTATAATCATTTTGATTGTGTGTGTGTGTTGTTTAGGATGTAGTTCCAGTCCTGGTGGATTACTGCCTGCTGCTGAAGAGGGCGTGAGTACTCATTCTATTTAGGTTTATAAACACAAATAAAATCATAGACTCATGGGAATTACATATTGTAGCGCTGATGACAGATGCAATGGAATATATTCCAGAATAAAACTGATTTGCTGTTTACGTCTTAGCCTAAATGGTTCATGGTTGATATAATAGCCTTTTATTTTATATATCCCTGGGCTTCTAAAAGAGTTTCCCAGTGAATGGCAGGATCTGGTATACATTGCAGTTTATTCAAAATTGAAGATGTTCAGCCTGTAAGAGTGTAAGCTAACATTTGAATCTGTATTTTAGTTTGGTTAATAAACCCCACACCTTTGTTTATTTTATCTGCACTCCATTTCAAGGTCAAACTGACTATAAATGAACCAAGCGGAGTAAACAGGCTTTGTGGTTACTCATTCATTGGGCAGTTGTGATAATTTTATCCTGTACTGTCAGGGCCAAATGGTACAATCCAATCATGTCTACTGATATGAAGTCATGCAACACTTTATTGAACCTGATCTGGTTATTTATCTTCCCTGGTGTCACAAAGAGCTCACCAATCAACACCTGATAACAAGCATTATTATTAAAGACTATAACTCAACTTTATTTTAGGAATAATGGGGGTTGGGAGCTCAACCACATTATTTCCACCGTATTTCTAAGTTGTTGACCAATCACAACAGAGCTGGCCATCAGAGCAGACTGGGCTCTGGTTTCAGACAGAATAATAATAATAATCAATTTGTTTTGTAAGCGCACTTTTCATTCGCGTAAACAAAACTCTAAGTGTTACAGAGTAAAAAGGGTGAAACAAAACAATAAAACAATAAAAACAACAGAATAAAAGCAGTGACAGTTATGCCGGCATGGCAAAATGTGGGGGTTTTAAAATCTAGTAAAAGGCTATTCTAAAAAGATGCGTTTTTAGGCCTTTCTTAAAAGCATCCACAGTCTGTGGTGCCCTCAGCTGGTTTGGGAGGGCATTCCACAGTCTCGGAGCAGCGGAGCAGAAGGTTCGGTCTCCCATGTTCTTTAGTTTGGTCCTGGGGGGAACCCAGCTAGAAATGTTTGGTTCTAAAAACATTCTGAGAATGTTACAGTCATTGTTCTAGGAAGGTTTTCAGCGGTAAGTTTTTGTTTTGGTTCTTCTGAAAGGTAGGATAACGTTCTCTAAAAACATTCTTAAAATGTTTGGTGATAACATTGTTAGAACATTATGCCCTCCTATTCTTAAAACGTTTTCAGCTGGAAGTTTTTGTTTGGCTCCCAGAATGTTCTTCTGAAAGGTAGGATAACGCTCTCTAAAAACATTCTTAAAATGTTTGGTGATAACCTTCTTAAAATGTTTTTGAAAACATTGTTAGAACATTATGCCCNTAAGTAAAGATAACACCCTTTTTTCAACCCGGTTACATTTTCCATTTGCCCTGTACGATGGGCGCTGTAGTGATGAAAGTGAGGGATGTTGGCTTAGCACTGCTAAGCCAACATCCCTCACTTTCATCACTACAGCGCCCATCGTACAGGGCAAATGGAAAATGTAACCGGGTTGAAAAAAGGGTGTTATCTTTACTTAATTATGAATGTTGTTACATCAAGGCTGAAAATTCGTTTTTTTTGGTATTATATCTTGTGGAAGTGCAGATCCCCTGTCCTCCACCAGGGGGTGGAGGGGATTTTGCTAACATGGCAACATAAGGATATTTGGCGTTTGTAATAGCTTTGGCTCGGTCTGAACTTTTTGCGAGTGGTGGAGGCTTAAATGCTAGTGGGAGTTGGGTTTGCACTTCAGTCTTTTTTCTTTTGGTACCGGTGATATTCACGTTCGGGTGATGCCTTGTGCAAGTTTGATGTATTGCCAGCCGCATAACCAATTTTAGTTGAACATTGCCGACAAACAGCTTTGGTTCGGTCCACCTGTCTTTGTCCGTCATCCTTGTACGTAACTGCGAAACCAAAATGTTCGCAAAATGATGCTGGAGGATTTTCAAGCTCAACTTTATCTGCGTTCGCCATTTCGACAGTTCCTCAAATTACTGAATACATTTGAACGCATCCCTCTGACCAGCTCTCATAGTATGCCTCTCGTCCAATGAAATGACTTGCTTGCTCTATGACGCGTTGAACCCGATGTGAGCAAATTACTCTGAATGCTGCGACGCAGCACCTGAGATTACATCCAAAAAGTTGTTCACGTTCTCAATTTTTTACGTTTAACGTTATATTCGTTTGGTACACTTCGGTACACACGTGTACCGAACCGAAGGGCCTGTACCGAATAATTTCGGTACGTGTACCGTTACACCCCTAGAAGCTAGGCAAGAATCCTTGCTGTCATTCGGAAAACGAAGAGTGGAACAGGCTAGCAAGTGTGCAAGTGCTCTTCATATGAGAGGCCCCGCCTTACATTGTCGTCACAGATTTGGGGAAATTGGTCCGTGTGCANATTTATATATATATATATATATATATAAATATATATATATTTATATATATTTTTTGTATCGTTTGCATGAACCACAGAGCAAAATCGATCATCCCAGCAGACATGGAGATACGAGGGACATGAATGATATAAGATTTTGTGCTTACTCTTTTTGCATTTAATGAGAATTATAGTATTTTATTCATAGCAACCTAGCACAACTCAAGGTCTCAGCTTCTCAAGGTTAAGGTAGTTGCAGTAGAAAGTGGCACGCTTGTTGGTCACGAGTTGAGTGAACAAACTCATGTGCCTATATTAGTTGTTTTTTTCCTCTCACTGCAGAGATCTTAAGAACATTTAAAAGAACAGAAATGACGGATGACTCTCTGGCCTACATTATGTCTGTAAGTGATGGTGTTTGCATTAAAATACAAACCCTCTGACATCTGTTCACAGGAGCTGGTGACCCTTGACCCCAGCAAGTCAGCTGACATGGTGCTGTTTCACTTCGCTGAAGAGGTGCAGCAAATCGTCTCTGAGCTTCAGGTAAGCTCAAAATAAACAGTGATGTTATTATATCTTCTTTATCTGCTAATTATATTTCTCACAGTCTAGATACCTATACATTTCTGCACTGAAACTGATGAAAAAACGTTCTACTTCACTGGAACTACTACACTGGCAAATATGTATTTAAGGTGCAATATGTACTGTAGCCTAGCCACCTGCTCCAAAGAAGTATATGGAGGCATTTTACTTCTAATATCCATTCAGTGTGTATTTACTGTCAGCAGCTATACAAAGAAAAGAGCAGTCCACCACTCAGATGGTCGACATAGCCATCGCCATCTTTGCCATACGCATGTTTGATCCCCAAATTGCTCCAAAAAGCATTTCCATCAGTGTGTGAGTGTGTGTGAACTAGCTTATGATGAGCCGTTTGGTACCTTTACAGCTTCCCTGCCATTAATCTGAATACTTTATTTATATTGGGGGAATTGGGTTTTGTAACACTTGCTCCATTTTACGATGAAATAAATAAAATATTGAATAAAATTGAATTAAAAAATGTATAATCATAAGAAGTTTTAGTAATAATATGTAACATAGTTTACGTTACATCTTTGTGTTTACTGTGACCCTGACGACTTCCTGTTCGTTTTTTGGATCAATCAAATTTGCACAGCTAATCCATTATGTGTCAGTTGGCAAGCTGTTTTTTGTAAATATCTCTGCAAAAAAACAACTCATTTTATACAAATGCGATTGAAACAATCCATGAAAACAGGAAGCCTTTATGGAAAATGTGGATGTAGTTATTGTTGCCGTTGTTGTCGTTTTCTTTGTCTTTCAATGCGGAAAATAATAAAGAAAATGATGGGTTAGGGTTTATAAAAATATATTTATCTGTGCAACACAATATATACTAGAGATGTTAAGATTCACCGATTTGCATCGGTGCACTGGCATAAACGTTCAAGATGCGAGTGCACCGGTTGAAAGAGTGCACATCGGCTACAGTTTTGGGTTGAACTCGCGATGCATCGATTGTAGCGTCTTTGCATCAGTAAAAAAACGATTCATTCATATAAAATCCTGTCAGCACTCAGCAGAGACGATCTTTGATCTTTGCTTCGCACCATGGAGGCCGTGAGTCTCAGTTATCAACACACACACAACGAAGTCGAGGAGAAAGAGGAACACAGCGCACCGAAAAATACCTACAAATCAAACGTTTGGAAACACTTCGGATTGTTCAAGAAAGACGGTCAACTTAAAAATCGCTCGCAAATTGTTAACAATGCCGTGCTGCTTTAAAGTACACAAGTAGTACGGGGAACTTAGCGGCACACATAAAGAGGCGACATGGGGTCTGCGGCTGAAAAGAGAAACCTGAAAGTTAGACATATGAGTTAAATCACTCAGTGAGGTGTTCTGTCAGAGAGAGTGGTGTTTAGTTTACAGCAGCCTGTGACGGCCAATCATAGTTTAAATGTCTTCCTTACTGTAAGCAGTTATGATAGAGCTGTTTGTGAAAGGTTATTTGTATTCTTTATTGTTCATATAGAAACCACTGCTTTCTGCTCACTGGTGAGTTAGCCTATGAATGAGTGTTAAGCACATCAGGCTGGCAGCTGTATGGGCATTGCACTATGGTTGTTGTTATTTGCACATTGTTAATCATGGGCAATGTATCCTTAAATTGTTTAACTGTGAGGTGTTATACAATTGTACTCTGGAGAGGTTTTTAAGGTACAAAATAAACAGCATGATGGGATGCGCAGTACTAGTAGAGAGAACCAAATAAGTAAAGCACTTTTTGTTAATGTATGACTTGCTGCATATAAGGAATAAAACTAAAATCCTCTGTCGTACCATATTGAAGTATCATTATTTTGCATCGTGTTGTATCGTATCGCCCCGAATCGCATAATGTTGAATCAAATCGTATCGAACTGTATCGCAACAGGGGTGAATCGTATCGTATCGCATCGCCTGGTGTTTCAAATGTATCGTTAATGTATCGTGTCGTGGCAACGTATCGAGATGCGCATCGCATCGGCCTCAGTGATGGTGATGCACATCCCTAATATATACACACCTGCTGTACAAATGTATCCCTCTCTAACTTTCTCGCTCTCTCTCTGTCCCTTCAGGATGACCAGTTACTCTTCAGGTTCCTCAGCTGCCTCCTGGAGCCACGGTAGGGGGGGCTTCCTGTCCTAGTGATAACTCTGCTGCCTATCTCCTTATATACATTATCTCCTCCTCTCCTCCCTCCTCATCTCCTCCTTCTCTTCCTCCACATTTCTTGATGTGCTGTGTCACAGGGAGGGCCATCTCTCAGGGACCATGCTGCCTCTGCAGAGGGACCTCCATGAGCTCCTGCTGGACTTACTGTGCCGCTTCGGCCCCCGGCAGCTCCTGGGCTTCCTGCAGACCTCCCAGCACTACAGACTGGAGGAGGCCATACAGGTACCGTCCACGATAATGTTGTTGTTGTTAATACACATTGCATGTGTTTGTGAACAGGGGTTAAACTTACTCCAAGTCCACAGCAAGGCACGTTTTTAAATATAGCACCTTTTAAACACGGGGTAATTCAAAGTGGTGGAAAAAAACATAAAACCATTATGACGAACATCAAAGGAAAACATTATTAAATTACTGTATAAAACACAGAGATTAAAGTTAAAGAAATAGGTACATACTTAATTTCACCTGCTTAACATTAGCATGTTAGCATTGTTATTGTGAGCATGTTATCATGTTGTTGTTAGCATTTATCTCACAGAGATGCTAGCATGGCTGTTTGGTTTTATAGTTCAGCGCCCTCCAATTTCACAACAGTAGATGGTTTTACGAGTTATTGGGCTGCATGTTCTCAATGGTAACTGGCTTAAATCGTTCATGAATGCAAGACTTTTAGAAGGATAATAGAGAAAAGATCAATATTTCATGTCTCTTTGTTTCACACATTTAACCAATGATGTTCTGTCTCTCTCTGTTTTTAACTTGTAGACACAGGCACATCAAATAAAAGTTCAGAAATGATTTTATTTTCAATGTGTTGTTGTAACCAAGTTCTGAGATTCTTCTTACAAAAACTGTTCTTCTGCATCTTTCTTTCCACCTCTGTAGACAACTCAGAAGTACCACCACAGCGAGGCCACAGCCTACTTGCTGGAGATGAAGGGAGATGTTCATGGAGCTTTTGCTGTCCTGTTAGAGGTAGCTACAAACTAGCGCAGATAAATCATTTCTTGGATGTATTAATGAACGAAAATGTCTCCATTTACCAATTTGAAATGTGTTTGCTTTGAAGACTCTGAAGGAGAAACTGAGTGTCCTCACTGCTGAGAGTGAGAGAGCAGATGAAGGGGGGGAGGAGAGAGACAGGGATCACACACTGAGCAGAGTGAAGGAGTCGCTGAATGACATCATAGAGCTTTGCCACCGAAGCTCTGACAACCTGGACCAGCAACAAAGAGAGGTACTGCTGCTTTCATGCATGGGATTCAAGGTATTATTTTCAGTCCTGCATTTGTGTTTAACCGCATTACATTTATATCAACAAAATATATAATATGAATAATTAGAGGATTAATGGTCATTAATCCGTAATTTTGTTATTAGAGCTTCGTTTTGTTTTTATGCACTTCTGTATTTGATGTTGTAATTTAATCTATCCACAGAATGTGACTCGAAGATTTATAAGGCATATTTACCGAATTTAAATATTTCCTTACCATTTAACAGTTTGACAGTGTCCTTTATCTACTCATGCAACACAAACCACTACTTACTAAAAAGTAAGCACATTAATTGTTTATAATTGTTTATAATTTAAACCGCTCTCTTATACATCCATGATTGATATGCGAGTTGTTATAACACTCTCTCATAGCCTGCACTTGTGTTTCCTCACTCCTCCCTCCTCACTCCTCTCTCCTTGACGTCTCTACATACAATTGCGACGTCCTTTGATTTGGCAATTGCTGGGTAAAGGAGAGAGGACAGAGAAGGGATTTTGGGATAAACCTGCTGTCTCCTCATTCATCTTTTCTTGTCTCACAGGTCTTGTGGTTTCCACTTCTGGAGACCATGATGGCCTCTCAAAAACTAGTGAAGGGGCTTAATGACGAACACACATTTGAGGGTAAACACGCACACACGCACACGCACACACACACACACACACACACACACACACACACACACACACACACACACACACACACAGGAGGAGCAAAGATTCACATTCTTTCACCCTCGTTTTGTTAATGTGTTTTTATTTTAATGTGGAACAAAACAATTCATCCAGATATTTAAGATTAGATTATATTCAATCAAGTATTACATAAAGAATATAAACATATCTGTCTGATTATATTTGGTTAGGGTTATGATTGATCCATGATTGTGTTTGTGGGTGTTGTGTGTGTGTTATGTTGTATTAGAATTGGTAGTAATAGTGGACCGGTTGACAAACTTCGGACTACTTTTTATTTTTTNCCGCTACATTAAGTGCTGTACCAAACCAACGAGTGTGGAGGGGGAATGGGTTATCGGGCCCTGAATCAGCGTGTCTGCAGCGGTGCTGACTTGAGACCCCGGTCTCAAGTCAGCACCGCTGCAGACACGCTGATTCAGGGCCCGATAACCCATTCCCCCTCCACACTCGTTGGTTTGGTACAGCACTTAATGTAGCGGACCCTCCGCGCGAACAGAGGGGTAGTGTGTAGGGCGTGGTTTGGGATTGGGCCTTGCTGTCCTCTGTGACTGTGACTTCCTGTCCTCTGTGACTGTGACTTCCTGTCCTCTGTGACTGTGACTTCCTGTCCTCTGTGACTGTGACTTCGGCTCAATTCCAAACCACCTCCTCCACACTACCCAGGATCCTTCCTTGACATTGAGAAACACTCAGGGTGTTTCTCACCCATGTGCAGCCTCGAAATTACCCCCAAACCAAGGACGCGGCCTCGGTGGAATTCCAAGTATGCTGGAGATTGGAACAGTCCTTCGGCGGCACTCGATGACGTAGCATCCTTGAAATATTGGCTTGGAAGCCAGTGTCCTCGAGATTGAGAAACGGCCACAGCGTCTACCGTCTCTGCGTAGAATAACAGTAGCAACAAGAACCTGTGGGCTCACGGGCCCCCCCCTTCAGTGCGGCAGAGGTTATGGCTGCCTCCCCTGGTGCTTTTTCAGTGCCGTTGTATGATGAGACCAGCAAGCCTAAATATCATATATACGTGAAATAAGTTATTTAGAGACTATGGATGGCGAGGACACATGTAATAAAGGGATCTACAAACATTACTTTTGTGACCTACAGTGAGATGGTAACAGGCATGCGCTTAGGGCCTGTGCTCCAGACAGTTTCTGTTGGGTGACGCATCTGAGGTGAGGCAGATCTCATCTGTGCCCGCGCTAAATTAGTGTCCGCGCTCCAGCCAGTTACTGTGGGGTTACGTGAGGCAGAGCTCGTCCCTGCCTCACTTCTCATCGCTTCTATGTAGATGTAGCGGAGTTCGGCAAATTTGCCGATGTTGACTATAAAAAGCGATTGGAATCATACAGAAATCACATTTACAACACAGATCAGTGGAGATATTTCATTATTATTATTATTTAGTTTTTTCTTTAGTTTTTTCCCGTTACATTGGAGTATGACAGGTGAGGTTCTTCCTCCTGACTGCACGTCGCTGTGCTGAATGTAGATGTTGTTACCTTTGGACTTTAGCCAGCTGTTTCTTCCATGGCAGTCCCTCACCTAAATCCCTGCAGAGAGGAAATACGCATATTTCATTTCACATTAAACTCTTCCTGTGGTTGTTTACAGCGTCACACTAATGTTTACATATTTTGTGTAGAACCATAATGCCGCCACTGTTTACATAATGTGTCCCATGACAGTAAACATGCTTGTGTTTGTTCACTGAATCTTAAGAGGACTCATTGTCAGCCACTCTTTGCTTCGCCCACTTCTCCACAACTCTTCTCCAGATTAGCCCAGGGACTGAGTGGAAGTACTTAGTGAGAGATGTGCTCACTATTTTGTCAGTATGTCGACAGTGAATTATTTCCTCCACTGCATCACTCTGGCATTGTGAGCCTGCTCTATATACACAGAGGACTTATATATTTATAAATTATTCTGCATTTAGTAAGAAGAAAGCAACAAGAAAAAAGCCAATGCATTAGACATTAGAAAAACACTTGCTGCCTGTGTGTTTAAACTAGTATTTAGTCGAAGATGACAGAATCATGAATCTTTTTAATATTCATAAAAGGCACATGAGGTCTTGATGTGTCAAATTGATGTGCAACACAGTGTAAAAAGCGTATGCAGCTGCACTGTTGCGATAGCTTCATCTACTCATAGTGAAAAGGTCTGTCATTGATCATTTTTAGGTCACCATGAAAGGACTAATATGTCACATAGCAAAAGTGGTAGATGAGCGTCAGCTCATGAAATGATTTGAATAATCATCCATTTAAGTGAGATTTACTCCGTAAAGTGGCTGCCCATCAGTATAATCCCACCACTTTGTTTTCCTCAGCCGACCATGTGTAGCCGCTTCAGGCCTCAATGAAAAGGAAAAGGGAAGCCAGCCTGGAAATTGAGACTGTGCATATGACGTTGTGTAAGACAAGGACAAATCTGAGATGTGCATATGCCGAGGTTGTTGGGGTTGAATACAGCAGTGGGCTGTGAGGAGACCTCTGAGGGTCTATCTCATCACAGATGGAAACCAGATGGAGGCAGCGAGCTCTAACACCCCACCAACTCCGCTGACGCAGCCAGGAAAAAAGCAGCTCGATACACCTAATTGACAGCGTGGTGTCATGAAGGGAGCTTTAGTTTAGGGTGCAGTGGAGTCCCAAGTGGAATGTATAAACAGCAGAGTGACACCGATCAGAGCCGAGCGCATCCTGCTGTGGCGGCACAGGAGATGCTTAAAGGACCGAGCAGGAACAAAACTTCTTGTTCTCCGATGCAAACAAAAACAAAGTCAGCGTTAATTATCGATAGCTCTCTGGGCATGGCGGGAAAAAGCAAATCATACCTTCCTCTCTTGTCTGAAGAATCAAAAAGCCTTTCACTGTTTGCCCGTGTGAGATAATTTTCTGAGGACACTGTAATCCTCCAAGACATTTTTTAGGGGGTGTATACATCCTCAGTATATTTTTATTCAAGAACAATTTTTATTCTCAGTAATGTGAATTTAAGAGGAGACAGCATTTATTTGTGATATGATTGCGATGTTCCCACGCACTAAGTGGTATCTCTCTCTTTCTATTGAAATTATCCTTCCTCTCTCTATTAGCACTGTTCTGTCCCTACTGTCATAAAATATCTCTGGTTGTACAGCTTATTCATTGTTAGATTAGGAAAGGCGAGTCAAACTTTTCTTATATTATATTTCCCGCATTAGTGAAACGCAACGTGCTTCACATAAAAACATTTAAAATGCATAAGAATTGGCAGAGATAGGTTCAAGAAGAAAAAGGGAAATAAGGCTTAAAAATATTTTTTCTTTCAATTTCCCTCATCACTTGAAAACCCACACCGTTATGCGGGTGCCACTTTCCTATTCTGTGTTCGCCTCATCTGGTACGTCATTCAAGTTGTACGAAACAAACATTAAGTGAAATATTGAAATGCAGGAGGATATTTTATTTTACAGCTGCACCAATCCATCCAATGGAATAAAAAATGTCTGTCATATTCTTTTCCCCATTTCCCAATAAATCAGCCTGGTATTTGATAGATTTGAAAGGACGGTTCTTCGAGTTTGACAATGTAAAAGGACATTTTATTTTTATTTATTTTCCCAGATATTGGGGGTAGTATTGGCACAAAATGTAGCATATACTTTAACAACATACTGTACATAGTAAGAAAAAAAAATGCTAAATAGTCCATACATTACAGACACCCACAATGAACAGTACACAGTGCTATACAGAACCTTTGTGCAGGGCATGTAAGTCAGTAAGAAAAAAATCAATATCAGTAGCTGATGTTAGGAGTAAAACAAAACACACAATATACACTATATTTAAAACAAACCACTCTCTGCTTTGAGCACTTAAACTCTCTGGATCCAAAGACCTTAACTTTGCTCAGACTTTCAGACTGTCAAAAAATGTACAGTTGCGCCTCAATCTTTGGAAAGAAATTGCCATTAGAGAATATCTATTTTGGCAAAACAAAATAGCTGTACAAAAAACAAGTTATTTCCAGGATATAGGTTTAAACAAAAAAGGCTAAGATAACGTGACTTTAACTCCCCATGTGGTCAATGCTGGATCCAGCTAGAAAATGTTTAAACCGGTTTTGACTGGTTAAGCCCTCATCTTTAAAGCTCCGCAGCCCCACAGGCTTTTTGTCACATTATTGTTGGTCTCCAATCCCAAAATAACCCCTGATGACATTGGCAGTTATTTTCCCAGACTTGACAAAACACCTCCGGGAGCCACAAAAAATGTTGTTAAAAAAGAGTTGCATTTGCAGTGTCGAGTAAACTGACCTGGATGAGTAACATCTCCATTTAAATACACAAAGCTAGCACAACGATCAAGAGTTCAACACTAACCTCTGAATCCATTTAAAGACACCAAACAAATGCTATTTTGTAACACAGAATAATCACCTTTTATAGTAGAAAATAGAGCAGGACAACAAAGTGTCATATATATGTACTGTAGAGGTGGTGTGATTTCTAGCAATGAGTCAGTGTTAGCTCCTTCCTCATACAGAGTGGGCTTGGCACTGTAACAGCACAGACACCCCCACATCTGAAAACCTTTATCAAATCAGAAAAATGCTTCTACTCTACATACAACATTGCCATCAGTCACTTAATGGAAACCAATGCATTTGTAATCTGGTATTTCTTGGTTAATCACACAAGTTTATCCTGTCACGACAGCAGTGAAAGCAACGTTCATGATGTCCGTCAAGAGCATCACTTAAATTAGATTAGGCCAACAACGTTCCATTTGTAATTACACCCAACACTTGCCTGCCTTCATCGAGCTCCTGACTTCATAGAAAGGGAGATACATTTACACTTTCACGCTTTTATTACTATTTGGTCCTAGTAAATCAACTGCATGGAGTACCGACCCAACACGGCTGGTTATTGTCGAGTGTATAAATAGCCTTTTACAATACAATTATTTCAACAGGAGAAATATTATACCCTTGAGGAAATTGATTTTCACAGTGCCTTCACGTCTGCTTTTTTTTTTAAAGTAACCAATACTCATTTCAATACCATTTTGTTCCCTATGTTTCTGCCCAAAAATCTTTTAAACTATTTCAAAAGAAATTCCAGTCTGTAAAACTCTTGTGGAGATAACTCCTCTGACTCTCCTCGCCTGTTGTCCTTCGCTTGCCCTTTCAGACCGCCATTCACACACAACACACATATATTTGCATTCCATCTCGTGACTCCTCTGTACAACATGCACGTACACAAACATTATGCACACTCACACATTAACAAAAGTGAGAAGATGCAAAGATGAGGCCCTGCTCTTTCAGCGGGCTGTAAAAATAGAGGCTTTTTATTAACACTGATAAAAATTCCATCTTCTTATCGACAGGGGAAACGGAGAAGGGCGGGAGGGTTTTACTGCAGAGCTGCTTAGAATAAAGATGCTGCTGGGCAGAGGGAGAGCAAGGGACACCAAGGGAGAGAGAAAGGGAGATGATTTGTGTGCAGCGAGGGGGTAAGGCGCGCGAGAGAGTGACTGTAATAAAATAAAGCCAAAACAGGAGCAAAATGACTCTGGACAATGAGAGGTCCAGATGGTGGTTGGGGGAAAATAACAGGGCATTTGGAGAGGGGGAGAAGTGGAAGAACACTAACTACCAGAGAGAGTTAGAGAAAGACAGATGGAGAGAATGGCAGTTAGTGGGGTGGGGGGTGTTCGTGCCCTTGTTTGTGTAATCGAGGTTTAGTTGTACCAGTATGGAAAAAATGACCGCAGTGTGGTGCAGCAGAGTCCGAACAGCATGCATGTACAAACCGGAGGAAGCCCGTGCACCTTGGGACCTGTGCTGAATGCAGGTGGAGTGGTGCAGAGCCAAGTGCTGAATGAGAGTGAGAGAGGGGGAGGGGTGTCGGTGAGGGATGAGGGAGGGAGCAGGGGAGAGATGTGGAGGTTACAGGAACAGGTGGGGAAACAGCAGGTGTTGAGGGGGTAAGGATAAAAAATGTCCCGGTTAAAGTCCAGGCAGGCTGCAACATAAAGCACCTTGATGATGCTTTAATGACCCAAATGTGCTTATTTTTGGGAAATGAGCTAAAAATGAGAGGATTTTAAACACATCCATAATTTATTTAGTGTGACATTATCTTGATTCTCTAATGACTGTGAGCTTGACCATGACTGTACGAAAATATCTACTGCCTTATTTACATTTTCTATGAACCCTCACCCCGATCTCTTAAAATACAGCACTGATATAATAAACCTTGTTTCACTTAAAGGGGTCTTGTGAAACCTTCTGTGGCTCCAGTGGGAGCTGTACAAAATCTGATGTCCTCAAATGATGACACTTGAGTCAGAGATAGGCTTAAAGTCTAACAAGATTCAAAATGAAAGAAAAATCTGGACGTGAGCTGATCAGACACAGAGGTCATTTTAACCGAATCTTTCCAGTAACACATCTGGAGGCTGTTCCCCCTCAGTGTTCTAGTCTGTCACAATGAACATAACCCGAAACATAATGTAATTTAAAGAGGACTGCAGCAGTGCTGCTGGCGCAGAAGGGGCTCATGCTGCAGGATTTCCTATACTGTTGAATCCAGTGCTTCAAGAATCGGGAAATCCCATAAGAGTCTTTCTGGCTTCTGATCGACTACATTTTATTGACAAATAGTAAAAAAAAAAACTAAAGAACCAACACTATTTTTAGTCAATAATGATAGGTTGTGCCCAATCAACCTAGAAAGGGTTATCTTATCTCGTGGTTGGTACTGTATGCCTTTCACAAGGGAAGAATTAAAAACTTGAATCACTGCATTCGTTCTGCTGTAAACCTTTCTTTTTAAACTTTTCACTGTGAATCTATTAATGTAGTTATCACATTTTCTTCTAAACCTTAGTTTTATTTCCCCCTAAAACAAAAACTCTTGGTAAAATTTCAATTGCCACTTCGATGTTCTCCATAGTTTAACTGTACATTCATCAAGTACCAGTAGTAACCAGCAAGTCTTTAATATATTTGTATACATTACATGTTGGTCCAGTTTGCATTTTTATTTGGGGGGAAAGCCCCCTCCTTTCTCTCTAATAGTTATAATAGGCTTAAGTCCCTCAAAGGTTTGATTAAATCAAAAGCTGCTCAATATTGTTGTCTTACATGTACATGTATCATGTGTGTGCCATCTGTTTCTCCACACCATGACAGAAACAAGCCAAAGGATTCAGCCCTACCTCGCTGCACCTGACACATACTGATGACTTGGTATTCAAGTGTCTTCCCAAGGTATCCGAGTTATCAACCTTATCATTCCCACGCACTCTTGTCTGGCTAGGCAAAAAGGCAGAGCGACTCAGCCTTAGACACAATAATATGCTCAGGCGAGATAGAGAAATTGCTCCCCTAAGGAGACAAACGCTCGTCCAATCAATCTCCCAACATAGCGGAGTTACGCCTGAATATTTCCAAGAGGCACCCCTACGCTGTCCTCCTTTCAGATGCCACAATGACATCCTCAGCGGAGTCTTGTACTGATCAAAGGCCATTCCCACCATCTTTTAACGTAAGATGAAGGACATCCATTCTTATTAAACCCTCTGTTGCCTTTTATTGAGACAAGTCTGAGTCTTCAGGGCAGGCGTGGCGTGGGCATAAAATGGGATGTGAAGTGATACTGCAGGGCAGAGCAGCCTTAAGACAGCTTTGTTAACTGTTGACAAGATAAACATGGAGCCCAAGCCCAAATGTTCTCATGCAATATGCATATTTCCGAAGGGATATGAGGCATGTTTATCTAAAAATCTCTGTGCTGCCAGTACTTAAACATGAGAATCCACCGGTGACTTTATTTTCTGTTTCTATAGCCAAAGCAGAGGCTCTAATGACAAAGCTTAATGTTCTTTGGACCTGGTTTTGTACTTCAGTTTTATCTGATATTGCTCCCTTTGTTCAGCATTCCCTATTATTTGGTTCTTTCTGTACATTTGTTTCAGATACTTTGAAGTAACAGACCAGAGGACATTCAATAACACTGGCAGGAAAAAGTGTTATTAAATGGTCTGAGGGTCAAAAACCTTTATCTTCACTTTGTTTGGTTTGGTAATAATTCACGATGAAATTAATGTTGTGTTTATCATTTAAAAAGTAATGTTGATGTTTTGTTGAACCAACAGTCCACAGGCAGAAATGAGGCAACAAATAAGTTTGTTTCGTCCTCTTACCAGGACAGGGGCGATGTCTCCAGGTATTGGCAGTTGTTGTTTGGATTTGGCTAGCGAGAACCCCATCACTGGGAGTCACAGTGGGCGTGTTGAGTGGTAGGTTTAACCCCGGCAGCAACAGAACATTTTCTGATGTGAACGGGGGGATGAGGCGGTCCTCCAGCATTTGGGTGCCTGTATTTGAGCTAATTTCTAACAGAAGGTCATTTTTCCCCCAAAGACACCTCACACTCTCCACTTGACGAAGTAGTTTCCCAGCGGGGGGGAGGACAACGCAAGGGTGCGAGTCATTTTATATGCCACTATATGCCATAAACAGACTACCAAACTGAAGGCAGGCCATGAAGTTGAACTAATGACTGCGACAAAATATGTCACCTGATTTCTGTCCCAAAGGCTGCGTCTGTAAAATAAGATTAAATGCAATTGATTTTCATATGCTCTTTATTTGTGATTTACTTTTTAGGCATCAGTACCCCTCTCAAATCCCTAATTAGTTTATATGGATTTCCAGTAATGCTGTTTCATATCAATTTGTTCATAGGAGATCCAAGGAAGTTACGCCTTTCTGTGGTTCATTTCATGGAATGTTCAGTTTTTGTGTTTTTATTACATCCAAAACATTGGCAAGTAAAGCATTTGCTTTTTACAAATGACTACCTAATAAAAACAGAAAAGGAGAAGTCCTGATTAGCAATCAACTTGAAATATTTTGGGATTTATTTTCTGTCAATCAGCTAATCAATTAATGCATTAACGTTTATCTTTAAATTAAACAAGATAAAAGCATTCTGTATTAATATAGCGGCTCCAACAATTTTGAAGGACAGAACAAATGTGGTAGAAGAAGAATTCATATCCCTTAAATAAGTAATAAGTGACAATACCACATTGTTACAACTCTAAATGTAGTCCTGCATTAAAAATTATTCTGATCAAAAGCATAACCAGCAACATTTATTAAAAAAATACACATTTCTCTAAGGTCCGTAATGAGTGTGAAATGGTTTCTATTAAATTATGTTTTAAAATGCAAGATGAAAAGTTGCCCACACAAGTTATTAAAAGTATACAAACAAAAATATTGGGACTGTTAGAGCTCTCCTTCTAGCTTTATTGCTAGGAAATAAACTCATTTGTAGGGAGCTTGTAGATGCTTTATGAATGAATTGGGGTAAAAAGTATAGTATTACCTTCTGAAGTTAGTGGAGTAAAAATAGCATAAATTAGATAAACTTGTGTAAACACTCAAATATACTGTTCAAAGAGGGAGCTTCAGAGTCGTTGCTTTAAGTGGATTGTGTTACCTTCGCACAGCGCCAGGCTAGCTGTTTTTTCTCAGTCTTTATTCCAAGCCAACCTCACAGGTTTCTGTCTGAGCTTCATATTTTAAGCACATGACAGAAATGTCAATCTTCTCATCTTCAACACTTAACCATCGCGGGGTCAGAAAGTAATTTTCCCAGAGCTTTGAAACGGTTTTGAAAAGGCATTGACAAATGATGTGTCCCTGCTGATGGCGGGGTCAGAACCAAAACCGCCAATGGGTCATTTTGGATCGTTCAATCTCAAGCCATTATTTATCATTTCATCTGAAGGACTCGTTAGGCAATTAAGTTGAATTTTCTTCAGTGCCCCTTTTTCTCCTATGAATATAGCAGACATACAAACATTCAATCAATATGTGAGCATGTCTGCAGTGTTAATCCCAAAGCAGCCTCACTGAGAGAGCCTTTGCATAATCACACATCTTGAAGTGAAACAAAGTGGTATTTTACACTCGTCTTACTTGGGGGACAAAATGATAGGGACCGAAATTGGCATTGACTAAATGTGGCATGTAAATGAAAGAAGTATGCAAAAACAAAACATAATAAAGAATTTTCGATTTGCAGCAGCCTTTACCCAGAAGTGCAGGACCTGTAAAACTGCTTATTTTTGAAATCACTGATGCTCTCATCTCTTTTCACTCCGGTTTTATTCTCTGACATATCTATCATCTTCCATTCTACCTGCCATGCTCGTTTCTCTCTGCTCTCTTTACAAAGTGAAAATACAGAAGCTTTCAAACTGAGGTATTGGAAGCAGGAAAAAGTCAAACGAGTGTTGATCAGTGAAATTGCAACCCCCCCGCAGAGGTATCATCTGTGTTACAAAGCGGGGGAAACCTCACGTGTTGCACCTTTTCATAACAGCCACACAAATTTAAAATGTTCTGACACTTGAGACATCACACACAACATGCAGAGAGTTAAGCAAGGTATTTGCAGCTGTAAAATGAACTTGAGACTAAAGCATCATTTGGATAATTACTCAAGTGGACTGTGATTGGGAAGTGGGGGGGCTCTCTAATTGGGCACCAATGCTCACCATTTCATTAGAGATTGATTGGCCCCTTGGCATTTGTGTAACTGCACTGATGACACTTAGGACAGTTCAGCTAAATGTGTTATCGCACCTATGTCTGGATTTTTTATTAATCAGAGCTGATATTGTTACTTTTCTCTTTTCATTTCGACTGTTATCAGCCGTTATTGCCTCCGGAGGTTTAAAGGGAAACTTTTGCTCCAGAGTCAATTAGAGTTTGATAATTATGCTCCTGGGCAAAGAGGGAGTTATACAGAAATATTTTTTCTAAAACTGGTCTAGGTTTAAATGGCCGGGATCAATGCATTAAACAAACATTGTATGCACCCACACTGAAAAGGACTGATTTGTTTAATAACGCATCGCTTTTTAAAGTGTACTCTGCATCAGTGCTCCCTCTTGACTGA